AGTTTCGACGAATCTAGTAGTCTGGGAAGAAGTACCAGCCATTTGTCTGTCTAGACCGAAACGAACAATAGCAAGGATGGGAAAGAGAGGATGGTCACGTTGAATTCTGACGAAAGCAGAAGTATGAAATACTGAAGAAGGTGGAAGTTTGTAAAATTCTCTAAGAAAATTGAAAAGCATAACAATCGAATGTTGGGTTCCCCCTATTTATAGAAACGCAGATGCCCTGGGTGGGAAACCCAAGAGCCGCCAATCGAAAAATTGAAAGGGCACGAGAAACGATACATTGCCTGGGGAACGTGCGCCACAATGACGCATAACGGGCATTCATGGTATCCTGAATCGACGTGACGCTCCATTAACGTCCTTGAAACATCGCGTTGCCACCTCGCCATAAGGACCCAGTCCTCACATAATGTCCAGATTTCTCCTTTTAAGTCGACAGGATCCGCCCATTGAGCTCGCCAAAAGGCGACCCCAACGGGCGGATGGACTAACACTATGGGTCAAAATCTGACCAAATGGTTATCAATAGGAATGGTAAGAGGTCGACCCAACCATGGTCGTTCCCACGAGACGTAATGGCGACGAGTATCACGGTCGTGGTCGAGGTCAGGTCATCAGAAGGCTCACAATGCGGAACGTAACATTGGGGCGAGTGAGGAAGGGTGTAGTCATGGGGAGGCACGCTGGTTAAGAACCATTGAGTAAAAGGAGAAATAGACGGTATATAACGAGGACAAATCAGAAGATTGAGAAAAGGAGAAAACTCCCGAGAGAAAAAGGAAGAAGTCCAGATTTCACCTTGGCATCCCCCATCAATGAATCAATAATGTTGAATCCTATAGTTGCCAATGAGATTCCTCCCTTATCTTCTTTGCTTATACAAATATGGAAGAATATATCAAAGATGTAAGCTCAGTGGCGGATGCACATAGAGAGTTGTGGGTGCTTAAGCACCCATTAACTTTGATCATATTAATAATTTATTTAGGAAACTGTACAAATATTTAGATAAATATTGAGCGAGCACCCACAAGTAAATTCATTTTTCCTCTTCTTTTGAAGTTTTTATCGGCGAGCACCCATAACTTTAAAATCCTGGATCCGCCACTGTGTAAGCTTGTTGTATTACATTGAGCATCTTGTAATCTTTCTTAAGAACATTGTATAAACACGGTCCCTTTGATTTTAGTTCCCATCATGTATAGATCTAAAGTTGATTATATTTAGCTAAGATTTACCTTCTGTTTCATTATCAATTGATTTTATCAAAGAGCTTTAACACCTTTCGGTCAAACAGCTAGTGTTTTTAAAAGGTCAAATATGACCTTAATAAAGAAATTCAAAATGAAAAAACAAAAATTTACCAATAGTATTGTAAGAATGTCATGAAGTTTTTTAAAGATAACAACAAAACTCATAAGCTAAAGTAAATTTTCAATACTAGCAGTAATCTGGGGCGTATGAAGTGTACTAATAACGGATTCAATTGAACTCATAACTTTTGACGTGAAATAAATTTATATGTAAAAATTCATTGAAAGTGCAAAAATAGTAGATACGAATCCTTAATTTTAAGCATCTAATGGGTTCGATGCTAAAACCTTAAAAGATAAACCTATAAAGTTTAAAATTTTGGATCAGCCTCTAACAGTAATACAAGTAACAAAAACATAAGGATCAAGATACATACATAATTTGAAAACTGCAAATATAAACTCATGAAGCAATTGACTATTTGAAGATAAAAAGAAAACTAAAAGACAAACGAGAGGAGTAAAATTCTAATTTATATACATCAGATTCACATTTTGTATCACCCAGGGAAAGCCAATGTGCTACGGATGGTCTTAGTAGAAAATCTACTGGTGACTTCGCTTATTTGGTAGTAGCATAGAGGGTACGAATTGTTAATGAAAATAGTGGTGATTTGATAATAATTCAAAAGAATAGGGCCTTTTTGATATTTTTATAATTCCTCAAATGACTATCCCAATTTTTGGTATTTATGAATCTTACTTATGTGATTGACAAACAGAGATATAATTTCGAGATTGAGTAAAATAAATTTGCCGTAATAGTTTAAAGCATAAAGGTTATGTTAAAGAGAAAAACCTTTAAAAAAACAAAGAATACTAATCCACGATAAATTTTATTTTGTGTCTCACACAACTGACACTAGTTGGGCCTCTTTTTTGTCTTACAACTATGTGGTCTCAGAATTTTTGTGGACCCAGATGTGTAAGATGTGGGTCCACAAATATGTGAGATAAAAAAAGGCCTCACACAACTTGAGCTTTATTAATCCGGTCAGGACTCCGTACCTATGGACTAGGGTCAACAGTAAAAGACAAAAATAGGGACAAACAAGAGCAAATTAAATTCCATTAACAGACAAAAAATTCCTATTTTTATTTATAGTAGTCCCTTTTTCTGTTCTTTTTTGAATTTGAGCATCTGATTCAGACACAAAAACTAGCACTCCCTCCGTTTATTTCACGTAAACCTATTTGATTGGTCATAAAAATTTTTTTTAAAAAAAGAGATTTTTTTTAAATTTATTATGTAAAATAAAGCACATATATTTTGTGTGACAATAAATAATTGTATAAAAGTAACTATTTTCAAATATGAAAATGAATCATTTTTTTGTCACGAACTATAAAATAGGTTAACATAAATTAAAACGGATGGAGTATTATCAGGTTAGTGGCCGAACTAAAAATTGCTACAGCTCTGTAATAGTGAATTGTTCTTCCTATTACAACTTATTTATAATTTCGTGAAGAAAAATATTATTTATCTTTTGGTTCATCCGTAGCTGTAGCGCTCAAATGACTAGGTAAGTGTTTCTGTGTTTAGACAACATTTAATTAATAAATAACAACAATAACAATAATAATAATAATTATCTGTGTATTCTCACAAGTGAGATTTGAGAGGGTGAGATGTAAAAAATTATGATATGAGAATAAATATGCGTAAATCACAGTCCTACATTTCGTTTATCGTACTAACTACTAAACTACACGTATATGGATTGTAATGCGATACAATATACTATTTATTTTAAATTTGGTAAAAAAGAATTCCTATCCCTGGCTTTAGATCTTTCACATTGTAATTGAGGGCGTTGAAGTTATTTGAAGGCTTTATACAGTACATAAAAAATACTCACTAATTAAATATATTACTAGAACTACATAATATAACGATGCATGCGCACATAACAAAAGATTTACACCATCATGCACATTAAAAAGCAACGGCAAATAATTCTTTACACAAACGGTAATTGATAGCCTCTAACAATGGATAAGAATTTTCTATCTAGATTAAAATACACTGATAGTGTAAAAAAAATCTTTAAACTATTGTCCATGTAACTTATAATTAGGGTTGTCAAATTAGACCCAAGCGTAAATGACCCGTCCAAGGTTGTGCTGGTTATTGACCCAATCGATTATTAAAAAACTTAGCCGATCTTGCCCAACCCATCTCAAGCCATTTAATGTCAGGCTGATTTTTAACCCACATTGATTCATAAGTAGCTTTGCCAAAATATCTTAGAAATAAATTTTTTTTATTTGATACTTATGTTATATATGACTATAGCAAAAGAAAACATGTCTTATTTTGTGATTATGGGAAACATAAGAAAACAATACATATTAACTAAGTCTTGTAAGAGTTGTGCGGGTTGGGCTATGACCTAAATTTTAGTCCATCTTAAACCAACTCATCTCAACCCAAGTAACTAAATGACCCGCTCATTTATTGACTCAACTCAATTTTGCCCGCCAAAATTGGGTCCAACCCGTCCATTTGACCCTTCGCTTGCAATCATATTATCAATACAATGCACTAAACGGAGCAGGGTACACTTGAATCCAACAGTATTTACTACAACCTTCATTAACAAACAACCCCTAAATTCCTTGTTTTATACTTACACCATTCTAATTTATGTAAATCTATTTCCTTTTTGGTCCGTTCCAAAAAGAATGACCCATTTGTAAATTTGAAAATAATTTAGCTTAAACTTTCAATTTTACCCTTAACGAGAAACTTTTATAATCACACAAATACTCTGGACCCTTTTTGACTTGTTTAGAACCACAAATTTCAAAAGTCTTCATTTTTTTAAAACTCCATATCAAGTTAAACAGATTCGTATAAATTGAAATGAAGGGAGTAATTATGATAATAATTGGTGATCACTAAAAAAAAAAAGGAATTGTATAAAAAAACTTTAAAGACTATAATAATATTCTAAATGTCAGCAATCTTTTGTGTTAAGCAAATTGATGTCTTAGTCATAATGGAGTTTCTAACTTTTTGTCAAAAGGTACAAAAAAATGATCATGAAAAGAATTTATCTTAGTCTCACTTCTTGGACCTGTAAAATGGCAGGTCTTTGTACGAAAAATGAAAAAAGAATTAAACTTTGGATCCTTTATAAATCAACCTTTCACTTTCCTTTTCCTTTTTCACTGAAGGGTTTTGAACAAAACCACAACAGTCCCTTTAATTCTTTTACCTCTCTGATTCCCGCAGCTTTAGTATTTGTCAATCAGTCACTACAGGCTGGAACTGTAGAACAATGTGCATACTTCAAGCTCAAATTATCCACTTTTTGCCCTGAATATGGCTATCCTTCAAGCTCCACTTTTCTTGCTCTGATGAGTGTCATTTCCAAAAAAGGTATATCTGTTTTTTATTTCTATTTTGTGGGGTTCTTGAATTCTCAAGGTACCTTCTTGTTTATTGCATTAATGTATATGGTTTTTTTTTTTTTTGGAAAAAATTGTTGTTTTGGGGCTTCTTTTGCAAATCTGATCTACTTGCATCAGAGATTCATCAGCTCAGTATAGTTAAGTTTTCTGTTCAGATCCAAGTTTGGTTCTTTAACAAAAAATGGCAATAAGTAACTGAAAATCCCCCCCCCCCCCCCCCCCAAAAAAAAAAAAACCGTCCAATGAACTCTCTCTCTGTCACCTAGCTCTTTTTTTAAGTTAAATTTGAAATACTTCTTTGCTTATGGTTTAGTAATCTCCTTTCTGATTCTCTTTATGATGTTGGTGGTGTCCGGGCCAGCTTGGCACACCTCGACTATTCCACCTGGTACATGCTACCTCTCACCACGATAGGTATCTGGTAACTCGACCACCAAAACATAGGCTTAGTAATCTCATTTCTATAAGGACAGAAGAAACCATTTAAAGTCTGAAAAGAAAGAGGTCAAGTTGTTGATCTTTCGATGTCCATTAACTGCAGAAACAATGCTCGGGAGAGAAGTACCATGCCCAGTTTTGGTGAAGGTTTAAAGGCCTATAACTGGACATGCTTTGATAAATTGTTCGAGTTATTTGTTTTCTGTCATTTATTTCTTTTTGTTTGTCTTGACCAGTGAATCCAGCTACAGTTTTCCTTGGCAAAATTAAAGCTAGAGAAATGAAGCGCATAGATTGGTCTGACCTATTTGATAATTAAGTACTTATTACTTCTCTGCTTGAGAAATTTTTTTTCTACTTGGAAATTTCAGAGGTTGAATGTTTAGATCCTAATATAGACTTGAAAAGGTACACTATACGATCTAGTGTCTATTTTTCTTAGTAGAACTTGCTATCCCTCTTTGAAGGTCACTGATTTCAACCCTAGTTGTTTATTGAGCTTCTCGATCATTATATCCTAGATATCTCATATTCAAAGCTAATTCGTTTAGAAGTTAACTTTTCATAGATCTAAGTTTTGAAATATGTCATATTACTATGTGCAAACTCAGCAAAATGCAGCTAGCCTTTAACCAACTTGAGACTCGTTTACTATTTGTAAGGAATGCACTAATCAATTAGGAAGTCTTTTGGCACAGCAAACCTGGTTTTTAGTTCCATAAGTTCCGCAACCATCCCCAAATTCATCCTCTGGAACCTTCAACAAATATTTCGGTGAACTTGCCAATCTACCTTTTCTATGTCTAATTCAGAAGTTGAACCTGGTTCACCACTATTTGTTTCATGGTTTTATTTGATGGTACTGATATATTGCCTCTTTTCGTCTTCTTGAGCCGAGGGTCTTTCGGAAACAAACTTTCTACCCCTTGGGGTAGGGGTAAGGTCTGCGTACACACTACCCTCCCCGGGGTAGTGAGGTCTAACTGGGTCGTTGTTGTTGTTGTTGTAACCTGGTTCACCACATTTTTCTTCCCAAGAATCACAAATGCATGCATATTTTTGCTCCAAAAAAAGAAGATATAAGATATGGACATATTTGTGTGTCAATTGTGGGTTTGTGCATCCTATGTTGGCTGAACTCGGAGTAGATTACACTTGATTTTCTTTGTTGCAGGTAGAAACTAGGTATTGAAGCATTCCTAGTTTTGCCTTGAACATGAAATCAAAGTTAAAGAATGGCTTATGTTCTGTGGTGCCTCTTCATTTACAAGGCGAATCTGCAACACGTTTTTGCATGTTTCCCAAAGTGAAGTCAGCTTGCTGTAGTCCAGGCAACACACCTATTTACCTTAATGTATACGACTTGACCCCCGTTAATGGCTATTTCTACTGGGCAGGCATAGGTGTCTTCCATACAGGGGTGGAAGGTGAGTCCCACGCTTAATATTTTTATGTATGTTTCTGAGATCAAGACCTTATTTTAGTCTTGCTTCTTGGACATTCTGTGCTTGTTTGGAGCATCTACTCTATGTTAAGTTCTCGTTGGCCTAAAATCCATCCTTGGCAAACTCAGAATCGTAAATGGTTCTTAATATTTGGAACTACAACAAAAATGTTAATGATAATGAGACAATAGTATCTTCTGGTACAAATGCTTACTTGTGTTTTTCCTTAAGTTGATGAGACAATAGTATCTTCTGGTACAAATATTTTCTCGAATGCTCTTTATCAGCTAATATATTTTTTCGAATGCTTTATCATATTTGCAGTTCATGGTGTTGAATATGCTTTCGGAGCACATGACTATCCAACGAGCGGTGTCTTTGAACTTGAACCTCGACAGTGCCCTGGCTTTAAATTTAGAAAGTCAGTTTTCATGGGAACAACATATTTGGATCCCATCCAGCTTAGAGAATTCATTGAGCGCCAATCAGTAAACTACAATGGTGACTCATATCATTTAATTGCCAAGAACTGTAATCATTTCTCAGATGATATCTGTTACAGGTTGACTGGGAAGCGGATACCTAAATGGGTGAACCGGCTAGCAAGAGTAGGTCTGTAATTTATCATCTTCACAATGTTTCTAGTTCTTTTTTTCTTCCCAATAATCAAACGCTTAATAAAACTATATATATCTTGTCTTCTAAAGTAAACGAACTTTTTTTTGGGGTATTCCTATAGGTTCGTTGTGCAATTGCATTCTTCCAGAAGCCCTCAAAACTTCCACGGTACAACATGGCACAAATGTTCAAAACTATGACAGTGAGAAGAGGAAACTAAGAAGCTCTTTCAATTGTTTGTCTTCAATCTCAATGCGTCAAGGTGAGAGAGAAGTATCAATGTCATCGCTGTTCTTGCACTCTCACTATAAAGGCTGCCTTCCACCTTGGGAATCCAAAAAATCTAGAAGCAGGTCTTTGAAGGAAGGATAAGGTCTTCCTTATTCTCTATATGGACATCCATTGTGAATACTAACTTCTTTGTCGGACTACCATTACATCGTATTTCCATCTTTGAGCGTCTTGTATGGCGTAGTTGCTGGCCTCTCATTTGACTGATGAATCGTGCTTTGTTGGCTGAGACTTCATTTGGCTTGCCGGTGGTGATTTATGCCATTTTCTGAGTTCAGATTCTGGTGTTACAAGTTCTGCTATCCAGTTCACATTTTGGTCATGCAGGAAGATCACATTGCTACAACAGCGTCTTGAGTCCCAGAAATGTACTATTTGTTTGTTATTTCTCAGCCACTTTCTTATTTGATATTGAAAACAGAGACGTTCTTGTTTCTTCTGCTGTAGAAATTTAGGAGCAATTTTCAAAGGATTTTCTTATTCTTGTATTTTGAAGCTTATTATCACTGCAACATGAACTATACTCTATACTGGGAAGACGCACCTGAGAGACTAGCTTATTTAAGTTTGAAAAAAAATGAAGTGGTTACTCTTACAGTCTTACTCTAAGTTACTCCTTCAGTTTCCTAGTAAATTGATCATTATAACCTTGTATCCCCCCTAGTAAATTGGCTAAACTTGACTGGATACTGTACTATGTTATCTCACAGATATAGCAAGATTTGGATGCATGTCTAATATAGCTTGTTTGGCCGAGCTTCTTAAAAGCCAGAAGCACTTTTTTGAATGCCCTTTTTTAAAGTTGAAGTGTTTGACAAAGCTTTTACAAGGAAAAAAAGTGCTTTTGAGTAAATACAGAAGTAGTTTTGGAGAAGCAGAAAAAAGTAGATTCTTTCCGAAAGCACAAGCACTTTCGAGAAGTACACTTAGAAGCAATTTTTATAAACTTGGCCAACTTCTCACCAAAAGTATTTTTGAGAAAAAACACTTCTCAAAAGATTGCTGATTTTTACAGCTTGGCCAAACATGCTATAAATCAGTGGCGCAAAGCAAACATCTAACTACAGCGTCTCTGCCCTGTAATGTACAGCTATGTTAGTGTTTTCCAATTATAAGAGGCGAGATATATAGCCAGCTAAAGTTAGTTAGTTAAAGAAAGGACTAACAATTTGGTAGACTAGAACATGTGCTACAAGTTCATTATACTCTAAAGCGTTAGCTGTTTTCTAATAAGCTTTTTAAAACAAAATCTTTGACATTCAGTTTAGTATGAATGATTGCTGATCTTATTGTCGCAACCATTTAAGCTGGCAACTGACAACTTGGTCGTGGGCTAATAAATGAAAATAGTTGTTCTCGTTTTCGACCCTTTATGATGCCCTTTCGCGTATAAGAATTCTAAAGTATTTGACTCAGTTATATGCAGCTAATTTTCATACTCCTAACAAACATTAAACAGATGGTCTTAAACCAGTTAAAGAAAACGGATTGCGTTAAGTTAACAGCCAACTTAAAATATTGTGACTACATTTAAATATTTTAAATAGAAAAAAATAATTTATATATTCCATCCAATTAAAGTCTAATCTGGATATTGTGGTGTAATTATTCATATATATTGATTGAACCAATAACTTCCAAAAATTAGAGGAAAATTCAGTTAATTAGGAAATACATGTACCATTGAAAACACTAACTCATATGGATTCAGAATTTAGACATTACGAGTTCTAAATTGAGAAAAGAGTTGTTCAAATATCTAACGCTAATAATATTTATTTCTCGCACGTATATATAAGGTTGGACCCCAAACTACTGATTCTGCCGAACCCATTGTTAAGTCATGAATAGTACTATGGAGGGGTGGATTTAGGGGCGGAAGGGTGTTTACCCGAATCCCCTTCGCCGAAAAACTACACAGTATATATAAGGACAAAATCTATTTTTTATCTCTATATATTATGTTTTGAATCCCCTTGACACAGCCCAAAAACAAAACATATATTATATTATAAGGTCGTTGGTTTTATTCCCACTAGCTACAATGGTACTACGTAGGAATTTGTCACCTGGGAGATAACTCTGTCAAAATTCATTAGAATCGTGGAATCCACTTTGAGGTTGACAGCAACTCAGCACTTGCCACCGAAGCTTCTGGTAAAATATTCTAAATTCAGATACTCCTATTTTTTTAGCAGATATATTCAGATATCTAAGAATGTTCCAAAAAAAGGTCAGGACTTCTTGTCAACTCAGCTTGGGATAACCCCAATTGGAAAAGTTAGCCCAAGATATAATCTCAAATAGCTAAAAGTCTTTACCAAAATCCTCTGTTCAAAGAATTGCTTACGACCTGTTTGGTGAAAAAGCTGATAACTTAGATGATTCACAAGTCATAATTAGATAAAGGGTTGTGAGTTTGTGACAATTTTTGGTTTCTTGATAATGGGTAAAGGAGGAGGCTGTATGCCAAGCAAGAAGAAGTTTCCTATAAATGAATCAGCAGAGAGACCAGTAAGTCAAACTGAAGGAACTGATGTAACAGGGTCAGAAACAGAGGGGTCCAAGAAATTGAGAATATTTATTGTGTTTTATTCAATGTATGGACATATTGAAAGCTTGGCAAAGAAGATGAAAAAAGGGGTTGATGGAATTGAAGGTGTTGAAGGGGTTCTTTATAGGGTTCCTGAAACATTGACAATAGATGTTTTGGAAAAAATGAAAGTCCCACAAAAAGATGATGAGATTCCAGTGATATCTGTGGATGAGCTAGTTGAGGCTGATGGATTCTTGTTTGGATTTCCTACAAGATATGGATGTATGGCAGCTCAAATGAAGGCATTTTTCGACTCGACTGGACAATTATGGAGAGCACAAAAACTTGCTGGAGTGCCTGCAGGTTTCTTTGTGAGTACTGGTACACAAGGAGGTGGACAGGAGACCACTGCGTAAGTCTATCTTTTGTCATTCATTTACTCGTGTTTATACTATTACTTGTTTCTTTTATGTCGATGATATCTGATTACTGTGTGAGCTAATTGTAACTTTCAGTTGGATTTAATGCATTTGGACAATGTCAAAGGTGTATATGACATATATGTAAAACAAAAAAAGAATAGGGTAATATTAATAATTTATAGTTTGAGACAACAAAAGGCGGCACCAATCCATATCAACTGATAACAGTTCAGGACTTTGAGCTTTACATATGCAAATTGATGGATACCCTTAAGATAATTGCTCCACCTTGTTGCCGATGAAGAGACAAAAGAAATGGAGAACACCAGCAGAATCTAAGTACGTAACATAATTGATGAGAGTGCATACCATTGACTAGGCTTAAAAATCATTAAAAAATCTGCATGTATAGTAGCTCCGATAGCATCCAAAGTATTGTCTTCATCTGGTGCTCCGTTTAACTGGTAGTGATAAAGATAGAGAACCCCATGATTTCAGAATTGGCTTGCATAGAAATCATTGAAGAAGAAGGCTCTAGAGACCTCAAAAATGTAGTTTCTAACTAATCTTCCAACAAATGGCTGAAATACTTAAGATATTTGGTTATTCATCTTTCAACAGGCCTATTAGGCATCAAGATCACTTACAAATTGTCAGTAAAGAATATTAATTAGCTAATAGGTTGGCTACTGTGGTAACTATCCATTACAGTGACAGAGATCTGTCGCTGTAGCTGCTACTCCGTAGGAGCATCATCTAACATTTCGACCATATTAGGGTAGAAATTATTTTGGAGGTATATTAATCTGATATTTTTGCTATAACTGTAGTAGCTCTCTTGGGCTTATAGGTCTCTTGGCTATTTTATTGTTTACAGGTGATGACAGTACATAATTTTGATATTGATATGCATGCTGACATAGGACCACAATAACACGTCTTAACTTCAATATTGAAAGTTATTTCCTAGGAAAATAGCCTTTCTGTGGTTCCTATTAATATAATGTTTATTGAAGCATAATTATCATTTCATAATTTGCAACCTTGGGAAGTCATGGTGCTAGTGGATATATGAGCTTAAACTCAGAGAGGGAAATTAGATGCTGGTTCTCTCCTTTTGTTCTTTTTCTCGTCTTTTAACCTTTTTCCTTGTTGAGTGGAATGGGCACAAATATAGCCTCTTGGTTAAAACGGATTTGTGCAGTTGAGATTGAGGTGTGGCTGATTGATTGATTATTGGTTCTTTCTTTTCTCTTTTCCCTTCTTCCCTCTCCCAATTCTGTGTGTTGATGGACTGAAGATGCCGACAGTAGTAGGCTGACGGCGGTGACTTCTGGTTGAGTGGTTTCCTGAATTTAGTAATAGAAGGATGGTTGCAGGATCTACAGATGGATTGGATGGTGATTAGTTATTTTATAAAAATGGCTTGCTCGTATATGTTGTCGTAGAATCTTTAAACATGACATTTTCTCCACAAATTGACATAGTCTATGAAGGACTATAGCTGTACTCTTATACAATCTCTATTTCCTTATCTTCTGTTCTCTTTTCTTCTTTCTGATGATTCATTCATATTCTTCTTCCAATATTAATCATGCAAACGATTGAGGGACAGAGCTCGGACGACGACAATCTGCTAAATCCAGTGGACCATATTGAAATGTTTCTTTTTTCGCATTGCAGCTGGACAGCAATTACTCAATTAGCTCACCATGGGATGGTTTATGTTCCAATAGGATACACATTTGGAGCAGGGATGTTTAGAATGGATTCAATAAGAGGAGGTTCACCATATGGAGCTGGAACTTTCTCAGGAGATGGTAGCAGGGAACCTAGTGAGCAGGAGTTGGCGCTGGCCGAGCACCAGGGCAAGTACATGGCAATGACAGTTAGGAGAATGGCTCAGCACCATTCATTACCACCAGATAATCCCAGCTGCTGACGCTTTTAGAAACGGGAAAAGGTCCAAATTTACCCCTCTACTATATGAAATATCTTAATTTTACCTTCCGTGAAAGCCATTCATAACCCTTGTCATTAGCATAACGTTTTGTATCTGCCCTTGCTTCTAATAGAGCTCCAACACAAACAGGGTAAATTTCACACGTCAAAATTACCTTATGTTATACTTCAGGTTGGAGTTGTTAAGAGTCAAGGGCAAATACGAGACGATTTGCTAACGACGAAGATATGAATAGCTCCAAAGTATAATATAGGATATAATTAAGATATTCTATATAGTAGAGGGGAATTCTTTATCCTTTTCGCTTTAGAAACACCCTACATGTAATATTTGTACATTCCTTAAAAACACTTTCTACACTGTATGTATCAAAATCTGTGTGTCTCTGGAAAGTCATGTCGTTTCATTTATTTGTATTTGTTCTTTAGATCCAACAATGGGCATGGGGGTGGGGAGGATGGGAGTTGATGTTCTATAAATACTTAATTATGGTTTGTGATCCATTTGTTGATATGTTTTTGCCTCTTGTTTTGAAGGGAACTAGCTAACTCTTGATCGTTTGAAGACATTAGGGCATCTAAATGGGCATTGCTTGTTGCTCAAACCTGAAAATATATCCAATACTTCTATACAAAATTTGACCATTAGAAAATACAAACTGCTTATGACTATAAGATGAAAGTGGTTGATGAGCAGCGTTATTCGATATTTGTCTCCTGGATAGTGCCTTGATTGGTTATAAGTTAGCTTCAAGACTCTGAGAAATATGATACGGGAAAAATATATTATTGATGTACCTTAATTATAATACAATTACCCTTATTTATAACAATACACAATACCTATACTACTTTTGTTCCATGTAGGACTAAGCTTATTTACATAACAATTAACTAACTAACAAACACAAAACATGTTAATTGTTTTTTTTTTTTTTTACAAAATCATTCTATTAGATAAATAAAAAAGTAGTAATTTTTTCATGTAGTGCTCAAAACCTAAAAACTGAGTGAATAAAACATAACTCATTTTGTTAATTAATTGGATTAATTTCGGGAATAGTTACTCAACTTTTGCTTTATTGGATTATGTGATGCTCATGATGGAGGACGGACCGATGAGGACGGGTCAAGCAGGACTAGCAGACTTCTAGGCTAGCAAGTTTTTGAAGAAGGGTTGCACATAACATCTTAGGTGAATCTCACATTGATATCGGAGAGGAAGTGAAGAACTTTATAAGGTATGACACAAGTTCATATGGTATGCGCACTTTTGGGGTTCGAGGTGGTGTAGTTCAAAAAAATAAATCCGTGCGGGCCTAGGCCCAAAGCGGACAATACGTGACATGGGCTTGAGTCGTGACAAATATGGTATCAGAGCCAAATCTCCCTCAATACGGTGGTGGGACAAACCTCAGCAAGGACGCTGAGTCCCAAGGGGATGAATGTGATGCCCATAATGGAGTCGGGTCAAGCAGGACTGACATGCTTCTATGCTGGCAAGCAATAAACTTTTGGGGCTCGAGGTGGCGTAGCCCAAAAAAAACAAATACGTATGGCTTAGGCCCAAAGCGGACAATACGTGTCAGGGACTTGGATTGTGACACATTACATTCATTCAACTATTTTTTAACTACCAAACATCACTCAACTTAATCTAATACATTTTCGTTATTTCTTGCTAGTGACTTTCTTCCTATAATATTTAGTCAAAGTTAAGTGATTTTTTATTTTAAAAAAATAATTTATTGAGTTTTTATTTACTTACGTAGTTACAGATTGAGTGACTTTTTTAGTACAAAAAACTAATTTAATAATTTTAGTGCAATAAAATGAGTTAATATCGATGTGCCAAACAAAGCACCGCGTTTTACCTGAATCGTGTCTGTAACTTAATTCACTGGGGACGCAAATACCACATTGGAAACCAAGGACGAAGACTGAACTTCGTCAACTGTAAACTGAAGGCATCTTTAAGCTTCAAATCGGACAAAACCCTAGCAGTGCATTTTGAAGATGTCTCGAGCACTAGCTTTGCTCACGCTCCTCAGCTCCTTTCCATTTCTCGCACTGCTTTCCAATGCATTTTCTCCTGAAAACCCCACAGATCGGAGAGTTTTAGTTTTGCTCGATGATTTCTCCATCAAATCTTCACATTCTCTCTACTTCAATTCTCTCCAAACCCGAGGTTACGATCTCGATTTCAAGCTCGCCGATGATCCCAAGATCGCATTACAACGATACGGCCAGTATTTATATGACGCCTTAATTCTATTTTCCCCTACCATTGATAGTAAGTCTGTTTATCAACATCTCAATAATTAGTGTGTTTGATTAAATGTTTAATTTAATTTTCATTTTTTCGCTTCAGGTTTTGGGGGATCACTTAATGCGGCAGCTATACTGGAGTTTGTTGATGCGGGTCATGATTTGATTCTTGCGGCTGATGCATCTGCTTCTGATCTGATTCGTGAGATTGCTTCCGAGTGTGGGGTTGATTTTGATGAGGTAGCATTATATCTCTGTTTTGCTTACATTTTTTGTTCAATCAATTAGTCACAACTTCACCTCAATCCCGAACTAGTTGTCCGTTCGCGTATTTTCTTCTTTACTATGGTCAAGTGAATTTTATGTGATTCACCATTGGCGACTGCAACCTGCTAACTGTGTCTGTATTTGAAAAACAAATTATGACCATAATTTAATTGTTTCCTTATGATAAGTGTACTCATACTTTTGTGAAGTTAAACATGAAATGCTGATTCATGTTCTTCTACACTCTATATTACGCATAATAGGATGCGGCAGCTATGGTCGTCGACCATACAAGCTATGCAGTTTCTGATACAGAAGGGGACCACACCTTGATTGCTGGTGATAATATCATACAATCTGATGTAATCTTGGGCAGAGAAAAGATCAAGGTAAAGCACTATATTTCATCAGAGGATTATTTATATTAATCATGATATTTGCGTTTTCTCTTCCATTTTAATCATTAATTGATTCGATCTATAAACTATACAACAACAACAACTCAGTGTAATCGCACAAATGGGGTAAATAAACTATATTAGTTCATAATCGTAGCCCATTCATATTTTGAGTGAACATAATCAATAAATAGACTACTAGTTCTTTGTTTTGTGTTAGTAAGAGGGATCCAAAATAGACTGTAGAACCCAATACAAGTATCACTTTAATGGGTAGAGGAACAGACCAAGCCCAAGTGGGGAAGAAGTATCGAGATGTCGAACCTTCCAACCGATGTGAGCGCTTAGGATGATCATCCGTGTTATTTACCTTGAACATGATCTGTTCTATAGGCTCATACCACTTTATCGCTGAATTTCACAATGTGCATTTTTTGAGACATTTATGGTGCTATTTTGATATTTGTTGGGTCATAAATTTTATGCACAAACTTCGCCTGTTTCTTTTTTCCTTTTACACTGGGCATATGTGATTGTATATAGGAGAATATATCTCTCATGTTCTACTGTGATAAAAGCAGCATTTTTAACTATACTTTTATGTGAAATCAATTCAGGCTCCTGTACTCTTCAAGGGGATTGGTCATTCTATAAATCCTGCCAATAGCTTGGTAAATTTCTGTGAGTGATTTATTTCTGAACATGAAAAAGGGAAGAAACATTCTGTATAGTTATTTAATGTCAAAAGGGTGCATACATCACACTTGCAGGTGATGAAAATCCTCTCAGCTTCTCCTTCAGCATATTCAGCTAATCCTAAATCCAAATTATCAGCTCCGCCAACACTCACTGGATCAGCAATCAGTCTCGTTTCAGTCGTGCAGGTGTTTCATCCATTATGTGTGATATTTCAAATCGTGTTCTTTGATTTCTTCCTGTTCGGTCTTCTTTCTTCTCTCTGTTCTTTCAGATTGTTGACCTTGATTCTCAAAAGTTGTTCAATGGGTGCTGTTTAGCTTCTAAAGATAATGAAACCATGCAGAATGCGTGCATAAACATGTAACAGAAAAAGAATCACAAATTGCTTTTTTAAAATTTAAAAAAAAAAAAAAACAGTAGGAGATGGAAAGGTGAGGTAATAGGTGTCGGACCATCTCATTGATGTATGTAATGCACTGCATACCTTGCTGACAATCTTCGCCTCATAATGCTCCCCCCACCCCCACCCCCACCCTCTGTCCATCTTCCTTCTTCCTTTTTGTAGCTGAACATTAATGATGTTGTTTAAGATACAATCAACAACTCGTAAATAAATTAGTGATAATTGTGTCCATTTGCAGGCAAGAAATAATGCTCGAATTCTTATATCTGGCTCCTTGAGCATGTTTAGCAATCGGTAAGTGCCTTTTGAGACTTTGGGTGGAGTATATCTACTCTGAATTGCTTGAACTGAAAAACCTATTTTCTTATGAGCAGATTCTTCAGATCTGGGGTGCAAAAAGCTGGAAGCACAATCAAGTAAGCAATTGTAGATATTCTGTTGCTTTTGTTTGTTGAAATGATAATACCCCGAGTGTGATGGGTGTTGAGGCCTCAGCATCAATTGGCTTAAAAGAAGGAAAAAGAAACAAAAACTAAAAGCCATAGTATTAGGTGGATTTCTCTAAGACTTTGTGTTCCAGTTGAAGCAGGTGCTAAGAACATCAATAATATGGCAGTAAGATATCCATCATCTAGGAAAAGGTTTCCCAACTATTGGTGTCCTGAATTGGATCAGTATTTGGCTTTTTAGATTAGGAGGTCCATCACTGTTTAAATTGGTAGAAAGTGATAAGAACAATAACTAGGATGTACTTGTTGTAGATTTAGACATTTTGTTGTTGATAAAGATGACCTCGGGTTGAAATGGGAAAACCTCAAACTGGTGGCACAGGGAAACATGTGGTTCACCTTGCATTTGGATTATGTTTTGAGTTTGCATGTGTCTCATAAAAGTATTTGGCAACCTAAACCATGTTCACATTTGATCTCGTTGAATACATGCTTTCTCGTTTGGTAGAAGTCACTTGTGTGTAGCTTTTGCCTAACTTGATCTTTGTTGGATTACTTTTCTTACTGAGCTTTTCTTATACTAGAAGTTAGATACTTTATTGTGTATAGTGGGCATAATTTACTTATAATCGCCCACTAAACATATTTGGAGGAACAGTAACAGTTCCATCTTGCATTTTGTTCTAATAAATTAATTAATGACTGGGGAATTCATTTGGATTCATATTGTCCCCTTTGTTGTCAAACGACTGCCTTGGTATTTAGCACTCCGTTGCTCTAACTTGATTTTAAGAAGTGATTTAGCCTAAAGGTCCCTTTGGCCCAAAAACCATTGTCTTTATTGTGATGCATCTAGGAGAAGCATGTGAAAATGATCTAAAGATTCCTCAAATACAAGACTGGAGGGGAGCTCAATTTAAAATTGACTGTCCTTTCCAAATTGGGTGCCTTGGTCCTATAAAGGCTATATGAGTGCAACCTGCTAGTGTTGCTCAATTTTGCATGATTATGTGGACTGGAAGAAGTTAGTCAGTATAAAGGGATAATAATAAAATTAAAGGTTGCTTTGATATGTAATGTCTTGTTATTTGATTTCCTTGTTTTTCACTTAATGCTAGAGAAGCAACAGCTTGAAGCCAATGCGCCTTTTACTGTCCGTTTCTACGTTTTCTATGCTTCTGACGTGATAGACCATAACTTTTTTCCCATGATCACAGCCATGATAAATCTGGCAATGAGCAGTTTGTGACTGAGACTAGCAAGTGGGTCTTCCATGAAAGAGGTCATCTCAAGGTGCAGCATCAGAACTAATTTCTTAATTCACATTCACGCCTTCTCCATTTTTATCTTTAGCTTGTAGTCATGTAAAAGGAATGCTAGTCAATTGGCTGCATTTTCAGTATTCATATATGCCGTTTTCAGTATATGAATTGGTATTTATGTCTATACAAATTTTCATATATAGGCTGTGAATGTAAGACATCACAAAGTTGGGGAGGCAGAGGAACCTTCTATATACAGAATCAATGATGACCTGGTACAGCTACACCATAAGTTTGTTCTAATTTGTCACTCTTATAGTGTATACCTTTGGATGTGTGCTGAAACCGAAATTTTAATTGAAGGAATATTCTGTTGAGGTTTATGAATGGTCTGGAACAAGTTGGGAACCTTATGTCGCAGATGATGTTCAAGTTCAGTTTTACATGATGAGCCCCTATGTTCTGAAAACCCTGTCAACCAATCAGAAGGTACTCTTAAGTGCTCCAGAATTGACATGGTAAGATGGTTGTTCCATCACTTAGATTAGCATTGCTAATTCCACTTCCTACAGGGTGTCTATTATACATCGTTCAAGGTTCCAGATGTTTATGGAGTATTCCAGTTTAAGGTTGAGTACGAGAAATTAGGATTCACAAGCTTGAGCCTTGCAAAACAGGTACTCCCTTTCAAAATCTGCAGGCACTATCTCTTATGGGGGCATCTATAAGTTTAGAATAGTCATGCTGCAAGCATTTTATTTGCTTGAAGAGGTAGGATGTGGTCATTATTTTCATACTTAATAGATATTGGTGAAGAGTTGATATATATATGATGAATTAGTCATTCTGGACATAGCTATAATTAGGACACTTTCTTTCCACATATTTGGTGAGATAATTACTAAAATTCTCTTATAATTACAAAGTGATACTTAACTTTTGGTTCTCTCTTAGACTAGGTATTTTGTATGCTTCCTTTAACCAATGATATTTGTAGAAGCAGCATGCAAATTATTATGAAGACATTCCTTTTTATTTTTGATAAGTTTATCATGAAAATATTCATGCATCTGCAGCTTGTTTGGATGGTTGTTACATATCGTTTCATAATGTATTGTATTGTATTGTATTGTATTGTACTATTTGATGAATACAACGTTTGGATAGATTATATCGTTTGACATCGTTTCATGATATCACACACCAGCAATATGAAGAATAAACTTGCAATATTATAAACAAAATTATGATACGGGGTAAAATTATTATATGAAAATATACGATAAATGATAAAATAAAATTATTTAATTATAATGAAGGGTGATACTGAGAGAAAAAGACAAGGTAAAGACGCGACCACACCAAATCGGTTGTTACATAAAGTGGCACATTTCGTCGTTACGCAACGACGGATTTAACGATACGATACAATAAAATTTAAGTAACAATCAAAACAAACATCGTATTTAAAGTAACAATACGATACGATACAATAGGTAACAACCATCCAAACAAGTTGTTATGTTTTATTGCGCTAGTTCTTTGACATTGTTGGATGAAACAATGCATATATTTGTCCCTCAGTGCCCTGCTGTTCCTAAGAGATACTACTTGTCTCAGAGGTTGATTTATAAAAGCCCAGTTAGGCCTTAATTGACAGCTATTTCATATTGCTTGAGCTTTGAAGTGCAAGATTAACAGCTTCTGCACTTAGTTTCGGTTAGCTACGTCATCCTTCGGTTTAATGATATGTAACAAAAGAAGATTATTGCACGGCCCTTTGTATACTCATTTGCATTAATGCCTTGGCGAAAACTTACTTGCAGATTCCTGTTCGCCCCTTCAGACACAACGAATATGAGAGATTTATAACAACTGCCTTTCCTTATTATGGAGCATCCTTCTCTATGGTACATTATCTCCCTCCCTCCCTCTTTGCTATGTATTATGGAAAAAATAGTTATAACCCATGCTTTTCTGTTTAGACAAATTTCCCCTGAAGTTGCTGAGACTTGAAAATAAGAAGCCATGTTATCTGGTTTAAGTAGGGCACGTAACCAAATTTATAACAGCTAAAACAACTGTATATATGATGGTGAGTTCAACATGCCTTTGTTAGGAATAATTAATCAGAAATTTGTTGCAGTAGGTGTCCTACTGTGAAAATATATTTTGAATAGTTTTACAAGTTAACTTTACAAGTTTTATTTAGAGATGCAGAAAAATCTGAATTTGATAGTATAGCTTCTAAAACAGTCTGCCGAGTGCTTGCTGGGTAATTTTTTTGTCCGCTGTGTGGGATTTGGATAAGGTGACCTAAGTGAAGTACCCACGTACTATGTGAGAAGGTTTTCCCTTTCTGATTTTATGATCTTATTAATCCTGAAGATTCAGTGTTAATCTCTTTCTATCATGGGCTATTAAGATACTTTCGTTCTAATTATTAACATAAAAGTGCTATTACAGACACTTTGGTGGTTCTGATGATATTAAAAATTTGTGCTATTAAGATATTTTGATTGTTTCAATCCACAAGAATGTTTTGTATGATTTCTATTTTCTGTATGACAGATGGGTGGTTTCTTCCTCTTCTCCTTGGTATATCTCTACCACAAGTAGATGCAAGATGGCTGGAACTAAGAGTACTTGAAGAATCAAGTGCAGATTTTGTTCTAACCTCCAAGATAGAAATAGATGATGTCTCTAGCCTGTAGTATTTTTCGAAACAAAAAAGGTGTAGTTTTACGTTGCTTAGCAGCAATGAATTATGGAAAACTTTTAGTTTTAAGTTGCATCAATTGCTAAATTTTATATGCTCACTAGTCCAAATGCATTTTCTTGGCTCCTTGTTCCCGTTTCTTTCGATCTATGATGATTTACCATTGTGTAAAACTAGCATAGCTATACCATGTTTGATACTAGCTTTTTAGTTGCTTTGTACTTATGTGTCAATTTATATATTACTCCCTCCGGTTCACACTTTGACCAATTTGCTTTTTCATTTTGGTTCAAAATAAGTGTCCAGTTATGTAATCAAGAAAGAATTCAATTTGTTTTTACAAAATAACCCCTATGTACATATCCCTAAAAAGTTTTCTTACTCCTCACATTAAATGTTTAATTAGGGGTAGTTTAGTCATAGTAGGTATTTTTGTATAGAATTTAGTATTTTCTAAATGGGCGTGCTAAAAGCAAATTGGTCACTTATTGTGTATCGGAGGGAGTTTTATTTAAAAGAATTCAAGTCAAGCCTTTAAGTAGTGCATACTCTTGAAGTTTAAGGTTAAGGGATATGCCCCTTGGTCTATTAGAAAAGTCCACCTCCGCTTAGGATCAATCTCAGGTTTTCGTTTGATCATGTGAGAGTAATTCTAGAGCAAACTAGTCCACTTAGCCTATCTTCATGTCCCCCAAAGTTATTTTCCATTAAAGACCTCGACTGCAATGATGCAGTTTGCAGCTTTAGGAGTTGCAAAACCTGGTCTTAGGCTCCACCTTCGGCACAAGACTGGTAGTTTATTTGAACCCTTCCAATTTAACCTTAACTCCATCTACATAATCAAGGAAAATCGATTTTCCAGCCATGTTTGTTCTGCTCCGTCATCGTCTTCCACACTCATTTCTTCTGCCATTTTTAAAGTCATAGATTCAACGAAAAAGGGTCAAAATTACTCTCACACTATTCGATTTGGTACAAATATACTCTCCGTCCACCTATTGAGTAAAAAATACTCCCACCGGCTCACTTATGCCCTACGACTAACGGTAAATACCAAATAAAAAAAATTTATTTAAATTACACGCGGCAAATTTTTATTGGTCCAATTTTAAACTATGACTCCAATTAAATAAACTCATCCTTAACCCCCTTTTTTTTTTCCAACCCCAAAATCCGATCCACCTAAAAAAATGACTAAACTCTTAATTGTTAAGAAAATTAACTTCTCCATCTTTTTAACTCTACCATCACCATAGCTGCCACCACCTTCTTTCCTCCATAACAACCCGCTATCACCAGAACCATGATTCTCATATTTACTTCATTCCTCCATTTTCGAACAACAGCGAGAATATTATGCTAATTGAAAGGGTCTGAATAGAAAATATTTAATTTTTTTCGATTTGATGTCCTTTTTTTGTTGTAAAATTTGGATTTTGATCAAGGGAGTACCTAGACCATAAAATTTTTATTTTCTACAATAAATTACCAACTTATTAAGAGTTTGTAAAATTTACAAAAATCGTGGAAAAAAAAACTGGACTATTCCGAAATTTAAAGCCCATGAATTCATAATGGGTTCTTTGATTATCTTATGTGATGAGAAAGAAAAAAAAGATTTACCATTGTAAATGACATTTGAATGTGAAATTTAAGGTCTTTTGGCGAACATTTTCGAAAAATGACAACTCCAATAGTAAATGTAAAATGAAGAAGATGATAAAAATATATAAAAAAAAAAAAAAAAAAAGAACCACAACTGCCCCTAGACCAAAAATATGGTGACAGCGTGGTTGCTATGGAGGAAAGGTTCTCTGTAGTGTTGTCACACAGCTGCCCGCCTAGAAGAGCAACTCGCTCTGTAGTGTTGTCACACAAGATAAGCACGCCGCCCGCCTGCTGGCCGGGCGAATCGAAGTTATCTTCCGGTCAACTGTCCACCCAGTCAAGTGCAAAAAACACAGTAGAATCACGAAACGCACGCTGCTGGTGTGCTTCCTGCTCGCGAGGAAAGAAAGAAGAGCGACAGGGTTCAGTTCAGATTTGACTGTTTGCAGCATGGGAGCAGATTCCCCAAAAAATCCCTGGGAACAATGAAAAAAAAAAGATATCTCGGTAACGAAAACTATAGGGGGCTGTATTGGCGAGATCCAACGGTGAACAGCTGCCCAAAAGAAAAGCCGCCTGGAAGTCCGAGGACCTTTAGTACTGTACTCTACCCCCGAACCAGCAGCCTTCGCGCCAAGCAAGACCGCCCTTGTCCCCCAACATATGCGATTCATTCCCGTAAAGATTATAACACACAAGAAGACTCCTTACCGCTCCGTGGGGAGCGGGATGAGTGATACATCTGGCGAGCGCCGGTAAAGAACGCAAGCAAAGCTGGAGCTCGGGTATTGATATATTCCATCAAGAGAAAGGAGGCAGACTGGTAAGAAGGCCGACTACATGGGGGGGCGAGCCGAAAAACTCAGCTTTTCGGAGCAGACCAATCTTCCGTGCCGACCCCCCCCCCCCTTACCTCTCTCTCTCTATAAAAAAGCTTGCGGGAAGCGCGAAGAGCTAAGCCACTAATGTCGTGGCGAAGTTTAGACCTCATAAAGTCAGCGAAGCTAAGGTTTCGTATGGCAGCTATAATGGTGGTAGAATTGGAAAGATAGAGAAGTTAATCTTTTTAACAATCAAGAGTTTGGCAATTTTGTAAGGCAGGTCGGATTTTTGGTTTGGGTAAAAACAGTATTTTAAAAGGCATTTTCGGGGGCGAACCCTGGGGCGAGGGCACCAAAAATGCTCTGAGGCGATGGTGTGGACAAAAGTCTCAAGAGGCGTTCGCCCAGCAATTCGGGGCGTACGCCCGGGCGTTTGAGGCGCGTTTTTATAGTGAGACGTAAGCCCCATAGATTTTTCAAATTAAAACAAAATTTGTTGAATAAGTCTTTCATATAATATCCAAATTCTTAAAAGTCAGCTTGTAATTACTCAAATTTTTTAAAAAGAAACTGAAATGTATTAAATATAAAAGTCATGACCTTTTTTACTAATTGGAGCCGTAATTTATGGTCTTTCCCAATTCTTTATCTTGTCTGCTAGTCTAATATCTCCTAAAAACGAGTATTCATTTTCTTTTACAAATATAAAGAGAACTTCATTCTCCTTCATAGCAACAAGTTCAAAGTTCAAATTACAGGTTAGTCAGTAGCATATAATATGTTGTTTTGACTAGTTTTTATATATATATATATATATATATATATATATATATATATATATATATATATATATATTTCAATTTTTATGCAATTTTACCTGTTTATAATTATTTACTGTAATTATATTATTTTATAAAATATTAAAAATTTAAATACCCATAAAACTTATGCCCCGTACCTCGAGTATTACGTTTTGCTGAGGCGTTTATAAAACGTTTTGCCTTACGCCCACACTTTTTAAAATACTGGGTAAAAAAATGGGTTAAGCATGGGTTTATTTAAGTGGGGTCACAGTTTAAAATTAGACCAATAAAAAATTGCCACATGATTTGTGAACCTTTTCTTATTTGGCATTGACATTAGTCGTACGGGCCGTTTTGGCATTTTCCGTAGATTCAATACCATTCTCTTCCTCACTCCGTCCAATTCTTTTTCGGAAAATTACCAGCTATGTCCATTTATAAGTAGCTCATTACAAAAATTGGTCAATTGATAAAATATTACTAATATTAGTCAAATTAGCCAATTAGCTATTTGTAACAAAAAATATCAAATTTTTGCTTTGTTTTGAGTGGTGTTATTAGAATAAATTGGGTATAATTAAGGAGCTTGAATCTCGATTTTGGGATGGTTTGAATTGAAAATTCAAAGTAAAAGCTGAACATGAAAAAAAATAATATATGTATCACACTTTGTATCATTTGTGTATCACATATGTGATATATGCGTGATACATGTTTGATAAATGTGCCGCAGAAGACTTTTTTGAACTCTTTAATTACGAATTTTGATACAAAACCAATCCAAATCACCTCCAATCTTCCTCAAATTTTTTTATATTAACTTATATATATATTTTCAATGAATTTCAACTATTCCCATTGAAAAAGTTCCTTTTTTGTTTAGATTTTTGGAATATTGTATAGATTTTTGTATTTCATCACCTTATTTGCTACCCCGTCCGTAAAATTTCCTTTCCGTCTTGTATCTAATGTTGCTAATCCCTTCTTTTTCTTCTTTTAGATCCAAACTCATTTCTTCAAACATTTTCTCGTCGGTCCCCAAAAAACTATTTCGACCATTTTCAACCATTCTCAATCAACTTTTGAGCAACTTTTTTGCTATATTTTCAGCCACAGATTCTACCAACTTGGAAGAAGAAAAGTTCTTAAAATTGTTTTCAATACCTTCAACAGTATGTGCATTGGAGCTTTATGGTATAAAGCTGTTTTTGTGAGGAACACATTTTGTGTCTAAATTATAAAGTAATAACTTAATTAAAGTGTTGGAACAAAACATACTTATAATAGAAAATGTGAACTTTAAAGGGCTGTCAATGTATTTTGCAGTTTCTTCTCAACAAAAGTATAGCACTAGCAACAAAGTAATGCTAAATGTATCCATCTATCCAAAATTCGTCTATGTGAAATTTTCTCTTATCTAATGCTAAATATATCGACCAATGTGAATTTCTATCTTAAGAACTAGATAGTGAAATAGAAAACTTATCGGCAACGAAGATATAAGCATCAAATCCAGTCCTTAAGAGAAATTAACATAGATTTTCTGTCTGTTTATTCAATTTAAGCTTTTCAAATAGTTATTCTTTATATTCTTCAAATGGTGAATCCAAGTAGAATAGAAATGCTATCAAAGAACTTGGTATTTCAAACGACGGATTTAGACGAGGAACCACAAAACTATGTCAAATAGAAATAGAATGTGAAAAGACAGAGACAAAATATGTATGGGAATGGTTACTAGTAAACGCCTTCTTGTAAAAGAGAAAAGGCGTTATCAGCGAAACCTCCACTTTGTTAGTTTGATTTAGGCCTCCCATGAATCAAATAAGCACTTACAAATCTCAGCTTATTTGGGATTATGAAGGCCATTAACACTAATGAAGATCAAATCAAGAACTATAAACAAAACAAAAACAAAAATTATGGACAAAAGAGAAAATGCGGACATGGAACCTTGGCTGCTGTCTGTCGAGAGCTTACGGCTA